AAAAAATAAAAATAAAAAACTTATACTTCAGAATATGTAACTTCTCTGGGAACCCTCTCAAGCTTTGGACCAAATGAAAATGAAGCTTTTTTGAAACCACACACACACACACACACACACACATGTGCTATAGTAAAGAACATGTTAATTTTATTCACAGAGCTTTGGTGCAATTTTATAAAAACTGACAGGAATATTAAAACTACATGAATACTCTTAGACTTCTGGAATTTTGCCTCAACTGACTGTCTGATTTGCCTTGGTGTGACTCTCTCAGGGACATAATGTCTAAAGGCTGTTAAAACACTCAGGGTACATTCTTCCCCAAGGGAGATGACTTATTATTGGTCCTGTCCCTTGTGTGGGAGTGGGAAAGGAGGGGTCACTCTACCCTAAATCACCTCCTGGGAATATAGAGAAATGCATATATGTTTTCATTTACCTCTCCCTAGCATCTTCCTTCTAAAAATGTCCTCACTTCCCTCTATCTAGATACTTTCCATCAGTCCTGTGAATCAAGAGACAGAAGACAGTCTAGTCTGGTGAGTTAACAACTGCAGTCAGTTAGTGAGGAAGAAGACCCTTCCCTACATCTGTGATTTTATCAAACTAAACAGTTTCTAGATTATCCAGTGCCTAAGCAAGGGTGGCTAAAGACCTGACTCTGGGAGAGAGCCTGCCTTCTGACACCAATGATTCTTTTAAATAAAATTTTATTACATTTATTTATTTTTTTATTTGTGTGTGTGTGTGTGTGTGTGTGTGTGTGGTGTCATGCCTTTGCATGGTGCATGTTTGGAGGTCAAAGGACAATCTGTGGGAGTTGGTATTCTCCTTCCACCGTGTGGGTTCTGGGTATCTCAGGTCATCAGGCTTGATGGCAAGTGTCATTACTTGCTGAGCCATCTCTCTGGGCCAAGACCAATGTTTCTACGAAAAGGTAATAGACTGTAGTAGGAGGCTACTGATTTCTAGTGCAAAACAGCTAATATAATCAGAAAAACAGCCAGAATTTCAGATGAGGTCTTCTGGAAAATGAACTATGCTCAGAATAATTTCTGAGCAGAGCACAACCCCCTGGTTCTGAGGTCTTCTTTTCACTATCCTTGGTAGTTTCAATGATTCATGGTTATTTTTTCTCCTTAGGTGTATTCCTTGTGACTTTTCTTTGGGGCCGGGGTGGAGGCATCAGTGAGCCTCTGCCCCCATGGGTTGAACCTCAATCAGCCTAAATTACAGATATATTTTTGACATGTTGTGGTTTTCTCAGTCTACTTGCCTATTAGGTCAAAGGAAACCACATAACCATCATTTTAGAGGAAGCTCATGGAGCTTCTGCTGCTACGTGTTACCCATAAAAGTTCTGCGCACTTGGCAGTTCATTCTGCATCAGGCCAGGTGATGTGAGTATTCACACAGGGCTGCCTTTGGCAATGGAAGCTTGCTACGTTTCTACAAGGTGAATGCAACATTTCACTTGGACTGATAAAAGAAAATACCAATGGCCAAACTAGAAAATAGTAGCTCAGTCCTGTAAAGTTCTCACTGGGGACCTGGAAGACTGTCACAGACCCCATGTGGCTCTATTCATTCTCTTTCCTTATGCACAGATTACAAATACCCACCCAAGGTACTAAAGCAGAATGCTGTGAACTGCTTGTTAAGTCCCTTAATTTTGAATGAATTTTTAATTTTATTAGTGTAAATTAGGTTTAAGGTGAGAGCTAAATCTCTCTAACACTTACCTAAGGCTGGCTCATAATCTGTAGGTCCTCAGTAATGTTGGCCTTCCTGGGATCAATGTACCTGGTTATTTTTCCTTTCCATCCTAAAGGTACTATATAAAATAGATCACTGAAAATAACTTAAAATTCAAAGGACATTTTTCAATGCCATTACCATCCCTAAATGTGGTTTTATTTAGTGCAAAGCTAGAGATTCACACAAGTAAGGTTCAAACATTTACAGACCAGAAACAAAAACATTTCACACAATGTCTCTATGATTCTTTATTTCATTTTCAGGAGGTAAAAAGCAGCTAAGCCACCTTGACAGACAAATTGCTGTGACCGTTTTTGAATATGGGTGTTTTCTTCATATTAGTAGGTAGAGGTGTCGCCCCTCCTAATGATGAAGAACAGAGCTGCTTTAAGGTTTACGACGCAGTCTTAAGCATCTTTGGGCTCATGGATTTCTTCTATAATCTGCTTAATACTGTTCACAGCTCTTCATGCAGTTTCTGATAGATGCACGCTCTTATACTTGCTGTCCCTAAAGCCTATAAGCTAAAGTCACATCTCACTCCCTGTGAAGTACAAGCGTCTACCCCATCCCACCACTAGAACCTGTTCTTTCATTTATTCCTCTTTCATTCTTATTGTCTCTTTAATTACTCAAACTCATCAATTTATTTTATCAAATGCATTGTCTGAAATACAATATTTACCCTATAAAAGTCAGTTGTTCTCTTTTCCCCAGAAGTATAGTATTTTAAAAGTAAACTTAAGCTTTATGTTATTTGCAATATGCATGTGTGTAGGGGTTTGTGCACATGAGTGCAGGCACTTCTGGAAGTTAGACCCCCTGGAAGTGGATTGATATGTGGTTGTGAGTTGCACAGTGTGGGTGCTGGGAACTGAATGTAGGTCCTCTGGAGAGCTATCGCTCCAGTCCCCAGTGTGGTCTTCTTAACATTGTTCTCTTTCCCTCTCCGTCCTCACCCTTTTCCTTTTCTCCTCACACTTGTCCATTTTTTCCTTTTGAACATTAGCTCATTTTAGAGTCTACACATAAATATATTGATGTTTAATCACATTCATTTTCTAACTTACAAGGACGGCCTTTAATATTATTAGTAGACATTCATCTAGGTCAGGAGGTGCTTCCATGCCTGAATGTACAATGCAGTTGCAGTTCCAACATTTTCAGCACGAGTAGGATTGCTGCCTTTCATAAATCATTCTGAAAGGTGGTCTGTCCGTAGGGCTCAGGGCTCAAGAACCAGTGGATCCCGGACAGACCGAAGAGACCATGTACAACCTGAGCTGTTACAACCCACCTTCCTTCATCCTTGTTGGAGTACCTGGCCTAGAAAAGTTGCACATCTGGATCGGGATTCCCTTTTGTGTCATCTATGTTGTGGCCATTGTGGGCAATTGCGTCCTGCTGTACCTGATTGCAGCAGAGCAGAGCCTCCACGAGCCCATGTTTTTGTTCCTGTGCATGCTGGCCAGCACAGACCTCATCCTGTCTACTGCCACAGTGCCCAAACTGCTCAGTAACCTCTGGCTTAGCTCCCAGGAAATAACCTTCTCTGGTTGTCTTACTCAGATGTTTTTCCTCCACTTTAGCTTTGTAGTGGACTCAGCTATCCTGTTGGCTATGGCATTTGATCGCTATGTGGCCATCTGCTTGCCCTTGAAGTACAGCACCATCCTGACTCCCCAGGTGATCATCAAGATAATGGTGAGCATTGTTGTGAGGAGCTTTTCAGTCATCCTGCCAGATGTTTTCCTGCTGAAACGGTTACCATTTTGTAGGACATGCATCATCCCTCACACATACTGTGAGCACATAGGCTCTCCTCTGCTGATATCTCTATCAACATTTGGTATGGGTTTTCTGTTCCCGCATCATCCCTCACACATACTGTGAGCACATAGGTGTTGCACGGCTCTCCTCTGCTGATATCTCTATCAACATTTGGTATGGGTTTTCTGTTCCTCTCATGACTGTCATCTCTGATGTCATCCTGATCGCCGTGTCCTACGTCTTCATCCTCCGTGCTGTTTTTCTACTCTCCTCCCAAGGTGCTCGCCAGAAGGCCCTGAGCACCTGTGGTTCCCACGTCTGTGTCATCCTCATGTTCTACACACCTGCTTTCTTTTCTATCCTTGCTCATCGTTTTGGGCACAGTGTCACTCGACATGTTCTCATCCTGTTTGCCAACTTGTATGTGGCCATCCCTCCTGCTCTAAATCCAGTTGTTTATGGAATGAAGACCAAGCAGATTCAAGAGAAATTTCTTCTTCTCTTCCCTTTGAGAAAGATACAATAAGTGAACGATGAAAGCTAAAGTTTGGCAACATTGATCTGGTGAATTTTGATCTCATGTTTATTTGAAATATAATCATTCCATCTATGTACAAAGTTTAGGTGAGGGAAAGGGAGAAAGAAATCTACAAACCTCTGGAAAATCAAGAACTCCCTTGTTTTACTTTTCCTACATGTAGATGGATAAAGTTGATGAATTTCAGTGCTAGAGAGAAAGGAGTGCCACAACTGAGGTTTGCATCACTCATTGATAGATACTTGAAGGACCAACCAATGTTTCCTAACATGCATTTTACTCTAACTTTGTTTGTTTATTTATTTTGAGACAGGGTCTCACTATGTAGTCCAGGGACTCAGGTTTGCTTTGCTTAGCAGGGGACCTACTGGCTTCGGGGCAGAGGATCTGATCAGCTATAGAGTCATAAACTCTGAGACCTGTGTCTTCCCAACAGGCCAATTTATTTTATAATTCAGATGGTTTTTATACATCCCAAGGAACTAGCAGTCACATGGGATATGGCAGTAACATACAAAGATTTAGGGTACAAAGAAACAGGACATTTAGTCTGTTAGTTGGCGCCAGAAGGATTCTTAAACTTTTACCCAAGGTTATCAATGCCCATCCAGTAATTTATTGGCCACAATGTTTTCCTTCTTAGAGCTAAAAGCATGGTGAACTCTTAGCTTTTAGCTCAGGAGTAAACCTTTAACCTGGCCTAATCTCTTAGCCAGGGATAGCTGAGGTATTTGTTCAGGACAAGGAGATGAGCTAAGGGTCGTTGATCAAGACGCTTTCCCACAGCGCAGGGATCCTGCACTTTTATGACCAGGCCATTTCCTCCTGCCAGCCTAACAGTGTTCTGCAGGACAGGGATTATCAGAGCCACTATTTTTAGTGCCCTTCAGCCTGAACCTATAAGTTTTAGGCTCACCTCACCCTAGGGCCTGGCATCCTAGTTTCCTACAATGTAGCCCTGGCTTACCCAAAACTCACTATGTGGACCAAGGTACCCAGGAACTCACAGAAATTCACTTGTCTCTGCTTCCAGAGTACTGGGATTAAAAGCACGCAACATCACACCTGGTTTTGTTTTCTAGCTTCTGAGTTAAGGACAAAGTGGTCTACCTTCCTTTGTCAAGTACTTATCAATTCTTCCTGATATGATTATTAATCTTTTGCTTATACTTCTTCAGATTATCTTCCATTCAATGTTCCATCTGTTTCCTTTACTTGTTGAAAGAAAATAGGCCAAAAAGACAAATAGCTGTATCTAATCCCCTTTTCTCTGCCCTTGTTGGATTAAACAGAGTTGTTCACTTTTTTGTTCCTATTTTCTTTCATTGCATGCTCAAAATAAAAGAAAAATCAAACTTTTGGGGTCTTCTTGTGCTTTGTTTATAGTTAAATATTTAATTAAAATAATTTTGGGAGAGTAATGCTAGTTAATTTGGTTAACAAATGAAAGAGTTGCAAAGGTTATAATATATGTTAATAGACATAATGAAAACATGGGTTTGTATAATTCTAAACTGTGAGGTCTGTACCCAATAACCTGGTGAAAAGTTACACACATCAATGGCTGACAAACTCCTCAAAATTATTTCCTTAAAACTGATCTACAAACTCAGTATCTCCCTCTATAAAAAAGAGTTTTGTTTCCTTTCTTCCTTCAGGGTAAATGGTATCAGCAAAAACATGAATGCCAAAGGCAGAAACTGGTGATATATTTTATTCTCCTATGCTGCCCTCTAACAAAATTCACTCAACATTTGAACTGCATATTTGAGTTTGAGGGTCTCATAAGCCATTCTTGTGTGTGTGTGTGTATGTGTGTGTGTGTGTGTGTGTGTGTGTGTGTGTGTGTCTGTGTGTCTGTGTGTGTGTGTGTGTCTGTGTGTCTGTGTGTGTCTGTGTGTGTCTGTGTGTGTCATATTTCACCTTTCTTTTGACACCATGCTCGGCTGTGGTTCAATCTGTTATCTATTTCTCTATGACAAATTTTTTTTGTAGGAGTTGCAGTCTTGCCTTACCTAATCAGCCTGTTCTTATAAAGAACAGAGTGAGCATTTATTAATTCACACATGAGTGTTATTTCCACCTCACTGAAACTCTTCAATAATCATGCATACATATTCTTCCTCATTAAACCCCAAGCCTTGCATTTTATCCACATATATTCATACTTAATTTATTTTTAATTCATTTGTACGTCCCTACCTGGTTGAACAAGCAGTTCCAGAAAGGATGTTTTTCTTTTATGTTCTCATATTCAGTGTCTTCTTATTTCACATAAAATAAGACAGCATGGTGTTCTACATGGTCAGGAGAATGATCTACGACAGCCATGCTTTTAGTTTTGATTGAGTGAGTTTAGGTAAAGGAATAGCAAGTGACAGTAAGACAGGCAGCTGGAAAAAAACCATCAAATCTGAATGCTCAAAACAGCCAGTGGAAATCCACTGGGAAAGCCCTGTTGGGGCAGTCAGCTAGAGCTCCTGAAAGAGAGAGTCCTGAGCATGTGAGTAGAGCATCCCCACAAGAGCAGGTTCCAAGTGGAAGAACGAATAACAGCAGAAACGTAGCACCACCAAATGGGGGTTTACAACATCCTGTAGAAATCAGCTGGGGAAATTGAGGCGGTCAACTGGAGTTCCGGATTGAGCTTTCCCTCCTTGGCTGAGAGCCCCATGTTGAGCTCCCTGCTTCTCTTCCCCACTGCAGGCACTTCTATATCATGGGATAAACAGTAGGAACCTGCACTGGAAATGATTTACCTTCTCCTAGTTCTTTTCAAGGCATAATCGTTTTACTCTTGAGCTGTTTTTCTGTTCTCTCCTCCCTGTCTCAGAGTTAGGGAGGCAGCTCATCTTCAAACAAGAGGTCTCAGAGGATACCTTGAGACAAACATATTTGGGTCTGAAATGAAGAAGGGAAATGTTGCTTCTAAGGCCAGCTTCTCAGTGAGCACAAACAGCACATGACAGTTTACCAGTATGACGTATATTACACATTTCTATGTTTTGTGTGGGAGCTATGCATAAACCTGTTTTTTTTTAAAAAACCATCCTAGAATAACACCATCTACTTTCTAGAATCTTCACAGGAAAATAAAGCATTCACGCATTTAATCATGATGAGCACATTAAGTCACCTGAGAGTCAGTGAAACTGACAGGCTGACATTAGACCCTGTGTATGTGTGATTTTCCTTGTTTAACGAATATTCAGCCGCTTACAGGACTCAGGCAGTGACTGCTTTATTTAGGTCACTATTATAAGCTATCACATTTAGGCCACTGAGATGGCTCAGTGGGGAAGGCATATGTCACCAAGCCTGAGGACCTGATTTCAATTCCCAGGATCCACATAGCAGAAGGAGAATTGCCCTCTGACCTCTAGATGTGCATCGTAGGATGCAGGCACATGTGTGTACATATATACACACATAATAAATATAATAAAACTTTAAAAACACATTTGTTTGATTTGATGTTGATCTGTCCAAAACCTACTTATTTATTTATTTTATTTATGTTTAGATAGGCTGACTAGACACCAGTGAAGGAACTTGCACTGAGGAACATCTTGGTGCAAATGTTTGACCAGATAGAACTTAACATATACGACAGAATGCATGAAATATGGTGTGGGGAGTTCGGGGGGCAAGGATGTGGGAGGGGGTCTAAATTTGATTAAGATTTATTATATAAAATGCACAAAAAAACTAAAAAAATTTAAAGACAACAAAAAGCAAAGCCCATTTTATATTCTCCTACAATATTGAAACTTCTCCCTGGCTATTTTCCTATAATTTCTCCACTGAAAATTCCTGACATACCATGTGTTTTCAATAAATCTTTCATGCAAATTCAAATTTCATTAGAAATCTCACTTTTAAAACTATTATCCCTAACATTTTTAGCCTAAAAAATTATCCTTTCACAATACACACACATATAATATAGTTTGAGTACATTCACCTATTGTTCTCTGATTATTCTTTTATTATTCTCTGATGAACCCCTTCTTTCCGACACAGCTGGGTAAGATGGATGATTACTTTCCCCCCTGGCAGTGTGCATGGCACCTTCCAGAACTATTAAAGCTAGTTGGTAGGGACAAAGCTTTCAAGTAAGCACAAGTTTAATTTCTCCATGTTCTATGACTCAAATATGTGATGTCATCAGCGATAAGATCACATTGTCAAATTCCAGAGGGTAACCAAAGACATTGGCAATAGCCTGCAATGTTTAGGATGGTCTATGATAACTCACTGGTTAACAACTCCAAAAGAAGCAACACGTTCCTGGCACTGGGCTTTTTATTTGCCCATTTATGGTGTCTGGTAGGGGCATTGCTATCCATTATAGGGCAACTCCATTTAAATTCTTATATATGTGAATGAATATATTTTAGGAAGAGTCTATGGTAATAGGTTTCCATATGACTTTTCCAAAAGATCTTTAGTGTTGGCTGTCCGTCCTCATATTCCCTCCTCTGTCATACCCTACCGTTCGCCATCCAATCTAACCCTTCTTATTCCATTATTCCCCTTAACCCTTTTATGCCATTGTGCTCTATCTTCCCTCCCTTGAAAGCCTCATCATCCAAACCTTTATTAGTTTCCTGACCTCTGCGAGTACGCCAAATGAAACACACATAACTAAATATTGAAAGCTGACATCCACAAATGAGAAAGAGCCTGTGGTGTTTGTCTTTGTAGGTCTGGGTTACCTCGCTCAGAACGATCATCTCCAGCTCCATTCCCCTGTAAATTTCATAACTTCATTTACCTTGCAGTGGAATCATATTTTATTGTGTAAACTTACCATATTTTCCTTCTCCATTAATCCATTGATGGGCATCTCATCTGTTTCCATTTCCTGGCTATTGTGAATAAAGCAGCAATGAATATGGATGATCTCTGTAGAAGGATGTTAAGTCTTCGGTATATGCCCAAGAGTGGTATACCTGGATCATATAGTAGATCTTTTATAGCTTTTG